GCATTCCTGACAAAATTTTATTAAAAATCTAGTCGAATCTTTGCAGACTGCAAAAGGAAAATGAAAATCTTGTTGGTAAACATAGCAAGCATTCCCAGCAATTACAGAGTGAAAGTATCAATATGCCAAACAATGTTGAAGAATTACATATTAGCCTTTTAAAAATACGGGAAGATTTAATCATCGCCAAGGTTGCTCAAGAAGTTGCGCAAGAAAAAGAAGAGACATTACGATATGAAGTAACCTTGCTCCATGAACAAATGGAACAGGAAAGTAGAGTAAAGGAACAAGAAATATTGGTATTAAAAAATGAAATTAGTGGATTAAGGTAATACTAATTTAATTTTTTAATGTCCTAATTTTTGCTAAGTGTAAGTTCTTGTAGTTTTAGTATCAATATTTTATAGAGCACAGTTAGATAAATATGTACGAGACCATCGATCTCTTGCCGAAAGGGAGGAGAAACTTGAGCGTTTAGAGAAACAGTTAGATGTTGTTTTAAAAGAAAATAAACAAGCTGAATTAAAGGTGACTGAATTACGGCAAAGAGTTACAAGTCTTCAACAAGAGTTAGATACTAGTGAAGCAGTTCAGAAAGACTTCGTTAGATTATCGCAATCGCTGCAGGTACAATAAGCAGTAAAGACAAATTCAAATGATAAATATATTTATTTATTTAAACTTATTCATTATAGGTACAATTAGAAAGAATTAGGCAAGCTGGTAGTGAAGTAAGGTGGCAACATGAAGAGGACATAGAAGAATGTCCTAGCTGTCATACTACTTTCACAGTTACAAAGAAAAAAGTAATGATAATAAATATTTGTAAATCTAGATGGCTTATATTTATAGTTTGTGTATATTGATAAAAATTTTTTTGTACAGGTGCATTGTCGTCATTGTGGCCATATATTTTGTCAGTCTTGCCTTTCACATGTTGTGAAAAGTGGACCGAAACAAAGACCATCCAGAGTCTGTGATGTTTGCCATACTTTATTGGTACAAGATACAGCACCTTATTTTAGCCAAGAACCACCACATACACCTGATTAAATATTCTTAAAAAAATCAGTCCAACAAGATGTGCAATATCAATTTGGTAATTTAATACATCAATAAATTTTAGAAAGGCATGAGTTAAATTTAAGGATACAATTAATTTAAGTAATAAATTCCATTTTAACAACTTTTAGAAAGATGTAGAGATGCTGTTAGTACGAGAAAGGGCTAGATAACGATTCCTATTACCTGACAACTGGAGTGATAAAATAAATATTGTGTAAATACAAATTATGTACTACTTAATGTTTATTGTAATTTAAAAGATTAAAGCTTTTGAATGTATGTGTTATTCAAGAATTTATGAATATTTATCTACTATCTTGTTATTGATATTATTAAAATAAGTCTTGTATAGAAGTATGTTATATATTTCATTTAATGCCATTTATTGGGTAGTTTCAAATTACCAATCTTATATTTTTATGTTGAAAGGGAAAAGAAAAGAGTTCATAATATCTACGTTTATTTTAAAAGTTTAAATCTGTACATACTCCTGTTATATTGTTTTTTAACTTATTATTCTGAAATCCAAGAAATTTATCTAGATTCATTATTTATTACAATGTTTGTATAGGAACAAAATATTCAATAAAAAGTAACGGTACATTACATATCACATATTTGATTTCACAAAATTTGTGAATAAAAAATACAATTAAAATTTATAAAAATAATTACAAGTATAATTATTTGATAAATCAAGTAGTATCTGTGATTCTTTTTTTCGCATTTTGTCGATCAATGAAAATGTTTTTCCTTTTTCTTTTTTTTTTCTTCAAGAGAGTACTTTATAATTTTTCCTAGGACATTCAGTAAATCAATTTAGCAATTTTTGTATGTAACACGTAAATGCTTTCTCAATAATAAGCACCTATACAATAATTACAAGTATTTTATATTTGCTGCACAGACGTTCAATTTCTTCTCCTACTGATGTGATCTGAAAATTTTTGCATATTTTGTTGTTACGTATACCATAGTGCATTGATTACAGTTCTAAGATGGATTGCACTGATTCTAATTTTATTGTATGGATCTTAGCTACCATGTCCCATAGCTAAATCCCATAGGTCCAGATCAGTTTAATGATGGTTTTATAAATTAATAGTTTGTTGCCTGGATTTAGTTTGGATTGTTTACTAGTAAGCCAAAACATGTCTTTGCTTATAATGCGGATCTGATTTATTTTTGTTCGTATGTGGTGTTTCCTTGTGAGCCATGAAATCAGATGCATGTCTAAATACTTAACTATTTTGGTTTGTGGAGCAATAGTGTTGTTTAGTGTAACTGGATAATACCTTTCCTTAGGATGAATGTTATGTACTTACACTTGTCCGCGTTCACTTCTATTTTTCATATTCTTAACCACTGTTCAATTTGTAAGATATGCTGTTGTAACATGGAGTGTGCGATTTTTAAATTTTCGTGTGTAGATAGGATGGTATCGCCAACGATAAAAATAATTAAGTCGGTTTCTTGTGTTGTGGGAATATTGGCAGAATATAATATATATAAAACGTGTACGAATCTTATAATGACAAACATGTTCTAAATGCTTCTAATAATTGATTAAGGCGCAAAAACATTTTGCTTCAAATATTATTGATTTTTGTCTAAAACTAGTCGTTACTTTCTGTTGAAAGTAATTAATATGTAAAAAATTGTGAGGTACGAAGAAGAAACATGAACTTCATGTGACTATGTTTGAAAAACCTTAATGATACAGCCAAAAATATATGATTTACGATACCCTAGGTCATATAACGTAACTCGTGATTTCATTCATACTTTGGCCCGAGTTACTCCAATAAAATTGGAATTAGTTATATGTCAATCGGCGAGATAATGATTATTAAAACATTAATATACAGCTATATTACATAAAAAAGAATGTCTCAATTACTTCCTCGATTGGTTGTGGTCGTCTTTTAGGATCGATTGTTGGTTCTTCCGATTCCAAATGTTCATCTCTTAACATTTTCCAATTGTTCAATATTGTTGCATATTCTAGAACTTTGTCATATTCGTTTAGTTTTGTATAAACGTTCAACAGTCCGTGATAATCATATTCTAGGCCACTGTAGCTTTTACCGAATAATTTCAAACCTTGTGCAATAAAATTTAGTAAATTTAGTTATAAAATAAGACTGTAAGTTTGAAAAAATTATTATAGTATGATATACTCACTAATCTCGATGCTTCTATAGTAGAGCTTCTCAGCGTCTTTGTATTGGTTCATATGGTAATTATATAACGAAGCTAAATGTCCTATACTTAATCCAACTTCATGATCGTCGGGTCCTAATAACTCTTCCTTAATACGTATAGCTTTAAGATGCATTGCTTCAGCTTCCTGGAATTGGCAACGCAAATACAATACTAATATTTTAAATATTTAGTGCACACATTTACGTGGTATATGTACCTTACATTTCCCCATGCTTTGATATACACGACCCAAATTTCCATAATGCTTCGCTGTTTGCACGTTTCTTTCGCCAAATGCCTCTTTTGCCGATTTTAAAGCAGATAAATGAAGGCATTCAGCCTTGAATAGCAGATTTTGTTTCGATAATGGCGACGATGTACTATCTAGTGCTATTTCTTCGAGAATTAATGCATTTATTCTTTTTGCGCTCGCTAACAACAAATGATCCCCATGTAAAAGGTTTAACATTATGTCTATTGCTTTCTCAATGTGAACACTGTTCATTTAAAGTGAAACAAAATTGTATGACTTTTTAAAATTTATAAGAGTGATAAGTTATAGAATCATTTACCTTGCTTCTGGGAATTCACCAGATTTATATTCATATACATAAAGAGCATAAGCTAAATCCTCGTATGCCAATGCAACATGTAAATTCATTTTTCCAAATATTTCTGTTCTAATAGCTAATGCATCCTAGAAAAAGAAAAAAAGTTAATAATACAAGTTATATAATTACAAGCAACTATGAATTTTCAGATAGTCATATTGTATGTATGTTAAGAACATACATACCTTATAAAGATTTACACTGTTGATTATGTTGTCAAAATTTAACCAGTAAAATCCATAATCAATAAGGACATTACTATATACTGGATGATCTACTCCAAATACTTTTTTAGCAAGATATACAGCTTGTCTGATTAAGAGACCTGCTCTCTGAAATTCACGTTTTAATAAACACGATTTTGCTGACTGTCTTAAAACATCAACAGTGACACGAGCAGACAACGTACATTTCAGTTGTTTAAGTGCTTCTATACTCCATCTAAATAATATGTAATTAGTATACTTGATAAATGACAAAGTTCATAAAACTCTAATGAGGTGCATACCTATAAGCTTCATCATACTCGCTTTTCATGTAGAAAAATATACTAAACTCAGTATATATAACAGCATAATTATAGTCATTATATCCTGCCTCTTTCAATTGCTTTATCAACTCTACAGCAAGTTGGTGTGTCTTTGCTGCTTGTAAAAATTCACAATATGCCGCTTGTACATGTAAAAGTCTAAATTTTTTAGATACTTATTATCAATTTATATAAATCTATTGGAAATAAATTAAACATTAAATTACCAAACATATCTTACTTTCGACAACATTCTAATGTTCTACACCAATTCTGAGGTGTAGAATTATTTGCAAGACATAATTGTTTACATGCTAGCAACACCTGTTCACTTTTTGCATACCAACCAGCATCACTGAAAAATCCACCAATTCTTAGACCTAGATTTATTAATTTTTCTTCAGCAGCTGGATTCTCACTAACATTAAGGTAGCATACTGCATATCTCATACTTAATTCTTCTTCAACTCGTATTCCATGATCTATAAGGCTCTGAAAAATCAATAAAATAGAAAAGTAATTGCATACAAAAACATTTGTACGTATTATTAATTTATTTTCTTGACAAGAATGAATAATTACCTGAAAACTTTGTAGTAAATGTACACGGCGACTAGTGACTGTTAACATCTTAGAAAAAATCTCTAGATTACTGAACTCAATTCCCAATGAACATAATCTTTTTTCTTTATACAACTGTAAAAACGAAATATCTAATACATTATTTTCTTTAATAAATTATAATTATTGTATATATTTATAACATTAAATAGATAACAAATGCAGACTAGAAAATTTATAATAAATTTATTTAATGACATTAACCAACAAATTATAGATATTTAATCAGAAATAAAACTTATGTATATTGCTGAAAATATTGCTTTATCATATTATTAATAAAAATTCTCAAACGAAAAAGATAAATTGATTAATTTTTTGAACTTGTCAAAATATATTTTTACGTGACTCGTGCCCAAAACAATGTTCACCACGAAATCGACGGAAAAAGTTGATTCGAGAAAATTGGTTCAAATTTACAAGCAAATTATTATTCGTACTTCACAAATCAGCACATTATTTTATGAATCATTACATTGCATTGTAAATACATGCAAAATACAAAAGTAAAGTATCAAAAGTACAGGTTAAACATATGACACGTATCATTTCCATAACTCTTTATTAAATCATCTAAATTTACTTATTGCCATTTCTCACAAACACGAGCTAATTCGTTATCGCCATACGCAATGCCAAAATACATTTTTAGTAAATAAGTATAGCTGTCATAATACAATGTTATGATTGTGCGAACGTATCGATCGAATACACAACATTATTTAATGAATATTGAAATGTCGAATGAAATTCATGAAAATAACGTATTGTTCATCTTAGATAACAATTCTGATGTAAGAAAAAGTTATAGTAAAGATAGAAAAAAAATATACGTTTATCACTGAGTAAGAGCATTCAAATCGACAAAATGTTTTGACGTTTACCTGATAATAAACATCGAACAACACATCGTTTGGTAGATCGGGAAGATACTTCCTCAAGTTTAGAAACTTGTTTGCAACCGCCAATACACTTAATTGGTAAAGAGTTTTTGGGGAAAACACCGGTGGATTACGTGTTTCGGCCATTTTCCTAGAGGCCTTCGGTAATCACGAATGCGCACACAGCCACAATAATTGCTGTCACGTTGTCATGCGCATATGCTACCGTAATGCTCCGCCATCCAACCACCAGCGACAACCCCCACTTAGAATGATGGTAAAAGTAAGTATCTAGCACAAAAGATACGAGCGCGAATTCTTTTTCTTTTACACTTGTTGCTACAATAATTTCATGAACTCCTCTGGAAATGAATTCGTCAAACAAAAATGGAGTTTTTTCGAGAATTGTTATTGCATGAAATGCTGAATCTTTGACAGTAAAAACTAATGTACTTTCCGATTTAATAATACTAAATTTTTATTCCAAATTGATATTACAAATCGATATTTCTTTTTTATGATACTAAGATACACCTATTACATGATGTTAGGTATTAATAGAGACAGCATATAGTGAATTTCAAAATTGAATTGTAAAATTAAAGTGTAATCAAAGCATAGATTAAACTTTCACATCAAAAAAGCGATAGTAGATATACATAGTTCAGAAAAAAGAGAATCGATATTGTTGTGATCGTGAAAGAGGCTGATTAATGGCGCCAGCATTGGGCCATGTCTTCTTTGGCCCGGGTTTCCTTTTCCGAAAATACGACCAACGGAAAAAACGTCTAAGGTGATTCAACGTCATCGTAATTTTTGGCACGATATAAAGTAGCTAAAAAGCGATAAACTGAACGTGCAGGTGAAAGGAAATTGGTACGCGTACTGCCACCGATTGTGAAAGTTTGAATGTCAAATCGTATGCTTTTGATCACATTATGAATTGGATGTCCCGTATTGGACGAGTGTATCGATATGGCAAACAAACGAACTTGAGCTCAAATTAACCTTTTAGTTCTTTTCTACAACTTCGTATATTTAAATCATGTTTGCATATTGAGAAATATGTAATTATAACCTTGTGTTCCATCGAATACTTATATACTCAATTTCATTATCAATAACTAACATATTGCTCGATATTGGTTGGCAATCGCGCGCAAATCTGCCGGTAAAGTTGTTTTTATACACGTGTTGTCGGATACGTTTCTAGCCATACCATCTATGTGCGTGCATTGCGTTCATCTATAGAACTATCATGTAAAGTTTTAAAATTATATTTGTTAAAGCAATAAGCTTTGACACATTTTAGAAGAGGATATATCATAATTTTTAATTAGAAATCTGAACATTTTGAAATAATCTATTAAATTTAAAGAAGAATTCTAGTTATTTGTTAATACTACAAAACAAATAAATTTTCAATAATTTTATTTTAGGGGTACGTTTGATTGTGCACAAAGTGCACAGGATGGAGGAGGAATGCCTTCAGGAGAATAAAAAGTCCGAGAAAATGATGCAGACTGCGGTCGCGGGATCGAATACCTCATCAGCTGACGTCCATAATGATCGAGCACGTGCTTCTTGTCAAGAAGAGTTTACGTGCTCTCTTTACATTTCGCGTGCCGTTGGGCCGCAAGGCCAAGTACAAGGAATACAAGGTGGCAAATTGCCTACTTCTTTATTTATCAAATTCTCCGTTTGCATAAATGATTTCGTGTACATTTGCAAGATAGAACAGACCTAAAACTCGTGTGCCTTTCCTTCTTGATACGATAGCTTGAATTATGTAATCGGCATTTTGTTACATCACTATGTCGGTTAGGAAAGTTTTTCCTTCCTCGTACTTGAGAAATATTCTGTTTTTACAACAGAAGATGTCTTTCATTATTAGTTCCTCTTGACAGTAAATGTTTCGAACTCGTTAGACTTGACGAATAAGTTATGCCAGGTGGCGAGTTACTACGTTCCAACTTAGAAGAGGTAATACGCGCGTCCGACCCCTTAGCAGCCTGGCACGTGTCTGAAACACCTTGTGGCCTAATTGCAGCATTCACACGCGAAGCTGATGCTGAGAAACTATTACAGCGTGGTGATTTGGCGCGCATTTTTGAAGGACCCGTACAAGTATTTACCTTTTCTTATTTATGCTAATTTTTTATTCTATCATATCATCAATTTGCGATAATCTTATTTAAATAGCATTTAAAATTACATACATAGCATATTTAAATCACATTTTAATTAATTAATAATGTATGCCATTTAACATATTTCTTACTAATTAAATTTCTATTACATATCACCGAATCACTTTCAGATAAAATTTATGTTTTATGTTGTCAAACATTATATACACACCATATGTGGATTATATACACGGATTATAAAAGATCCTTAAAATTTCATATAATTTTAATTTATTTTCAAAATCTGAGTTGGTATCACACGTATATTGTAAAACTCGGGTATGAAACGTGAGTAGAAAACATATTAAATATCATTTCATTTGGACTGGAATTTTTTGTACAAAGATAAATATATATATGAGCTTAAAATTCTGATAATTTTCTCAGTAAATAATTCTAAAATATGTTGCAATTTTGTATCGTGTTTACTTAAAATGTAACTAATGAATGTTCACATTTAATACTAAATCGAATATATCATTATTGCCTACATAATCATTGCTTCGCACCATAATCTGTCGCATTCCTCCTTGCATTTTTTTTTATGCAAGAAAGTGAGATAACAGCATTTGTACCATGTAACGCATTAAATTACTGATCATTTAAAGAATGTTATCACGAATATTGTATTTGTATATTTATTTTTATTTTCTTATTTGTTATATATTTTTTCTCCATTTTTTACTCTCTTCATTTTTTAAAATTTTATAACATTTTTTTCAAACAGGTGGCTCGATTCTCGGCGAAGGATTCTCGTTATAGACAGGCAGTTCTTCTTCGTGACGTACCTTGGGCCATTCCTCTACAAGATATCAACTCAGCATTGGCGAAGCAGGGAATTGCAACAGGAAGTGTTGAACGTTGGCGACAATATATACGTGTCGAGGTAACTGCCAAGAAACCACTGACGAAACGATGATAAAGAGAGAAAGAAAAAGATAAATAGGTTTATGTCAAAAGCGTTGTAATCGTAATTCCCAGTATCGCATGATAATTTGGTTAATTTAAAAGTCAATGTGACGTTGTTTGATTATGATCTGTAAAGTAACCATCATGTGAGTTAAACTACATCTTTTTTTTTTAATTAAATAAATGTTTAAATAAACAAAAGATCGAATAATTTTTCGACCTTAATAGTTTTTCTTATAAACATCTGAAAAAATATTGGAAAGATAGATTCAATTGGGGCATTGGTAAAATTAAATTTAAATTCATTCAAATATTTTTTTTCAGGTACTAGACGCTGGCCATTATGAGCTATTGTTGCGCCAAGGACTGGACTTTTTCGGTGCGGCTCGTTTCAGTGCCATTCCTGAGCGTTGGTGGCGTGGAGGAACCGGAAATGCTGGTGGACCATTGCAGGCAGGCACGGGAATAGTGAGCAATTTCCTTGAAGCATCCAACTTTCAAACAGGGGATGGTGTGCTGCAGTGTTATCGGTGCCAGGGTTTCTGGCACATGGCTGCCAACTGCAGACATTTACCTCGTTGCGTTCGATGTGGAGAGCCGCACAGCGTCGAATTTTGTCCCAGACCTCGGAACAATCCTATCTGCTGCCATTGTTCCGGTCCTCATCACGCTGGTAGACATTTTCCCATGTCTCGAACTGCGCTCCTCGATAATCTTTTTACCGAATAAATATCAATAATTATAAAATCGCGCACCACATGTGATCATAAAATAATGCAAATATTCATACAGGTTATCTTACAAAAGTATATAATTTTTCTTTTTAATATTCAAAACGAAAACTAAATAATTTTGAAACAACAAAATTAAGTATTGCAGATGCTCAAGATTTATTGGATTTATGTTAGCTAGCAAGATTAAATTTTGCAGTTGTCCAAGGTGTATACCTTTATTATTTAAACATCTTTTAATTCATTTATTGGTAGTCTATTTTACGTACACACTTACTAACCATATGTAACTTCAGCAATTAAACCAACAGCTGAAAAATGTATAATCTATGTAAGATAACCAGATCGTCATTAACAAATTTATTAGCATGACCGTTGCTCACGTTTCTGTTGAATGTATTCGTATATTCCCAATTCCAGGTTACCGACAATGTCCGGTTCGGCAGCAACTTTCGAACGCTACGCCTATTAGCATCACACTGAGCACTACTCGGATTGGAAACCAGTACCCGGTGAACGCGGCTTCCAAGACGAACGCGACCGCTCACGAGCAGCAACCCTTGAAGTCGAGCCAATCTTAAATAGAAATTACCGCATATTGACGTATTGATTATTCACGCATTGATCTTAGGACTTCGTAAATTGATCGCGTTTATCAGTGTTCATAAGTATGTTACGATCAATAGAGTTTTAAGCTCGCGTTCAATTTTAAACTAAACATAGAAATTAACGGGTAACTGAGATAAATAGAATATATGTAACATAAACGAAGTTTTCTTACTTTTGATAACCACATAACTACTTGTGAAATAATTAAAGTTAAAAATAATAAGTCCATTAGAAAAGTGACGATCTTCTGATTTGTTGATATTTGAACAAAAATCGTGCAGATTTATTAGATTCCTGAAGACATTCTGTAGAAATTAGCCATGTTTACCAGTCAGAGAATTCTCTATTCTTCGTCCCACTTTCTTCGTCCTAGTCTTTTCGAATCTGGGTTCCCCACAAGTACAATTTACACTTATCGTTGTCCATCAGCCGATACCTTGTAACTCATGCTGATAAAGAAAGAAGAATGGAGGGGCCTCAACAGGTATATACCTGCCAGGCCTCTAGATCGATAAGTCGCAGTGGGGACATGTCGTTCCCCTACCCACCACACACCTGTTCCACTAACACAACTTGGAGCTACTCCTCTGGGGGATCTTCAGAAACTGTCGAGTTCTATATGAATCCTGATACAATCAGTGCGACCGGCGTCAAAATTCAATTTCTTAACGCTACTGTGTAAATTATAGATATGCTAACCGTATCATTTATAATATCTTAAGCCGTTATACTTGAATAATTTGTGCGTGAAAAATTCTGACAGTACACATAATGTGCCTGTCGCTTTATGTTGAAAGTGTAACCATCATGTAAGAATGAGGAGAATAGAAAAGACTGATCAGGTACGATCATTTTTCATTTGATGTTGATAAATTTTTTACTTATTGTATAAATCTAAGTAACTAAAGTAATGTGTAATATGTTGTATATTGTAATATGAATGCATATAGCGATGCTATTGAAAGTAAGTATATTTTGGAACAAATTCATTATCCGTTTTATGTATAAGTCCTCCAGCGATTTGCCCGGGATTTATATAATTCTTCGTGATTACGATCATTTTATTATGGATTATTTTATATGATATTCCACTTTATTCGTTCATTTTTCTTTGGTAAGAAATTATTATCCTTGTTCGGTATAAATTATTTTAAATATTTCCTTTTTCTACACTTTTTCCTTTCAAATACTACACTTTGAAAATGTTTGCATTGTGTGGTAACGAAAATAATCACATATATTTTTGTATTTGTTTCCTCTACAAGTCAGTGAAACTTAAATGCTAATTTTTCATATTTCACAAACAATGCTAACTTTTTCCCATAGTCGTGAAAATAGAGGGAAAGTCTACGATTGCGTTTTATAGCAATAACTTGAATAAATTAATATCATAGAAATATTTCTTATTCAGAATTCAAGACAACTAGGATCGATTCCATTCATGACCAGTCGCACCGCGATCGAATCGACAATGCAACGCGTATTTCCCCTGCACCGATTCTATTTATTTCCTTCCTTCGTTGTATAGATGATTTAACAACTTTCCATGTAAAAACCACACGAATGCGATTAATATAATCGCGCGAACAGGATAATATTCTTAATCTAACACGGTTTAAAGGACAGAAATGAGCTCCACGGGTTGGATATTGTTCTTGATCGTTATGATCAGCTCTAACAGCGTTCAGCAGCCGACCTTCTTCAAAAACACCTTCAAAGGACTAAATGGGATTATTCAAAAAACTATGTTTGATAGAAATGAAATCAGAGCCGTTTACTATTATGATCAGACTGTGGCAGTAGTGGATCTTGGAACCAATAATGAACTGCATAATTGCAACTTGATCGAAGTATAGTAAGTGTTTTGAATTAGCTTCAAACTAGTATCTATATATGAATATAAAAATTATGTAAATATTTTTAGTGAACCAAAAGAAGCCAATGAGGTTTTGAGAAATTTATCAACCATTACACACCCGCAACTAGTATCGTTTCAACAGATGACGAAGCTTATGCAACAGTGTGAATTACTAGACAAAATACAGCACGATGGTTTATCTACATCAATGTCCCACACTGTGAGTAAAGGCAATCGCGAAGTGGGTAGTGTGTTGTCTCTTTTCTCAGGCATTCTGCCAGGTAATTTCTTATACTTATTATTTACTTTTTTGACGTATTATAATTCACATCTGTTGTGATTATAATTCACATTTGATGATGTTATAGGTACAAAATGGTGCGGTGCGGGAGACATCGCTGAAAACTATCACGATTTAGGTCAGGAAGCTCAAATTGATAGGTCAGTGTTCATGCTGTATTAGCCAGCATCATTAGAAAATTATATTTAATTAAACAGTGATGTTTTCAAAATAATTAATTTTTGTAGATGTTGTCGTAGCCATGATCTCTGTCCTGTAAAAGTTCGAGCTCAACAAACGCGATATAATCTCACCAATTATTCCATATATACTAAGTATGAAATTATTATACAAGTTTAAATTTATTATATTTATACAAGAATTTTATGTTGAGTAGTAACAAAGATGAACCTAGTTCTTACCTTTTTAGATCGCATTGTGCATGTGATGAGGCACTATATCATTGTTTGAAAGCAACAACACATTCCACAGCACACATCATGGGTCATATATATTTTAACGTAATAAAAGTGCCCTGCATTGAGGATATACCAGAAGACAAACAAACTTCCATAGAATTAAAACGACGATTTATTCCCGTTAAAACGAATTATTAAAACGAATGCAAGATTGCAAAATGTTATTGATAATTTTAATATTTTTATACAAATAATACAAAGTATGAAATCAGAATGAGAGATTTATTATTTGTAATTATTATTAATATTATACACATGTAAATACAGCAATTATAGAGCTTACACGATATTCTCGTTCAACTGATCAAATCTGTATTTACCGATACTGCTGAATTGTAGATAAAATTGTTTGATTCAAGAATGATGATTGAGAAATAATGTCTCTTATAACTTTTTTAATATTAGCAGAATTGTGATTATAAAGATTACCTGAAAAAAGTATTTATTTTTATTCACATTTATGGAATGATTAATTTTATAACATAATAATAAAGTTTTTATTACCTATTAACCACAGTGTTTCTTTTCTGACATGTACATACTGACATGATAGCAATCTATTTAACAATATCTCTAAATCCGATTGTGAATATTTTGGATTCTCTAATAGAAGCTTTGCTACTTGTTCGGATGCCTCTTGAACAGTATTCGCCAATATTCTTATACATGCAGTGATCTAGAAAAAGAGAAGAAATTTATACTAATTTAATGCAATAATATAATATATTAATAATAATAAAATCATATACTTCTGTGATAGCTGTGAAGTTGTTTGTAACGTTTTGATATAAATAATCTACTATTATAGGTATAGTATTATATAAATATTTATTACAAGATATTTGTGAAGATAATAAAGCTAACAACCAAATAATATATGAATTTTCAAATGAAATATTCCTCTTTGTAGTAGCAGTGACAAGTTCAATCATTTCATCTTCCCTAAAAACATTTGTACAATTAGTAAGATATTTTAAAACATATTTTAAAAGCAATTATAAATAGAGATAGTTGTTACTGTATATATCGGAAACCAATGTGTATATATTGCATAGCTGTATAAGCTATTGCGGGCATAATTATACTATCACAGTTGTGCATTAGAGATATTATATATTTTAAACATCCTTGAGCATGAAAAATTTCAAATGCTTTATTGCTTCCAGCAATCAAATTTCCTATTGTCCATATACAAACTTCCTAGTAAAAAGATTAATATTATCTTCACTATCGTATATAGCTATATTTTGATCTTTTAATAACTTACCAATAAAGGATAATTTAAAGTATTTAATTCTGTGACAAGATAGGACCCAATACTTTTGGTTAATGAAGTACATGCCTTAGTATTTCCAAGTGCTATATTACAAGAACAGCCAATAGCACATAACTGTACAGCTGGATCATTACCAGATAAATCACGCACTAGAGCAAATAAGACATTGTCAACTTTTAAGAAAGAATTGACATTTTCCGTATTCTAATAAAAAAGAAGAAGTATTAATAGACAAAGTAATTGTAACATATAAATATATTTTTAAATTATAACCTGAATAAGAGCATTTTGCAGCTGTGTATACTCTTCAATTATTAGTGCTTTCTTTTTGAGAGATTTTGCTTTTTCAATAACAAACTCAGGTGTAAAAGATGAATTCATTACAATATTTCCCACACGGTTTTTGTTTAACGATTTTGTACGATTTTCCTTTCTTTCTTTATGAACTAATTCTCTTAAACTTTCCCTAATAACCTCAACGACATCTTCTTTTGTTGATTCTTCTATTTCCATTTTATTTTTACTTATTAAGGTACCTATAAAAGATTATACAAACATTAGTTAGAGAAATATTGAAATAAATTTGCGGAAAACAGACTTAAGCGACAATGTTTCATTGTACGATGTTTATAAGATTTGATATTTAAATACGACCAATTAGAGTGTAGTAACTAGATACTCAAAATCTAGATAATAAAATAATATGATTTAATCTTCTTTTCAGAAATCTATTGTTTTATACTTTACACTACAATATATAGTTATATTAGAAATGTTTCTGTACAATAAAGTTATAAAATTATATGTATATCACTGATTCGAATATATTTTATAGTATTTCAAGATGATATTCTGACGACAAAGAATTGTATTTAATAGCCAGTTGAAACAAAGTCTTTATTAATTAGCTGGGTATCTTCGTCTTCATCTTCATTTTCTTCGATTCGGCAAATCGATACGATATTATATACGGCAGTCGTGAAGGTGGACGATGGACCGACTACGTGTAATCGTATCTCGCATTTTTCCAATGCATACTTCCATTTTAATTCAGCACGTTGAGGAAGCGTCATGGCCTAGAAGTTTAGGAAATAATAATTGAATTGAAATTTAATTATTATATATTAATCTAATCTTCAAAATCATTTTAATAACTTGGAAATCATTAGCTGTGCAACCAAGAACACGTTCAGCTATGTCTCCAAATAATCGACAACCAATAAGATATCCCGTATTATCTCTTAAATTCACTTTTAAATTAAGGCTCATTATGTTTAAAGGCACACGAGTTCCGTTGCCTGAAGGACATTCAAGATTCATGCACGAATCTCGATTACCAGGAATGATTTTCTTGCATAGCGCGCTATAATAAATAAAGAATTGTAAATGGTTATTAAAATATACTAATTGTTATCGAGAAAAAAAAAAGTTAACCATCTGGTAGATAATATTGTAGAGCTTATGTTTTCCACATTTATATCCATTACGTAGGCCCGTAAAATCGTGGCAAATTGAATTCTTTCTCCTTGTTTCAATTTTGTGTTGAGCTTATTAGAAATTTCTTGCACAGTCATTACAGTTGTAATCGTATTAGCTGTCGAAATAAGAGAACAAAAAATCAAGTTTTTATGATTTTTAAGATCAAAAGTTTAAGTAATATTACGATAAATTTTGTATAAAATTAAAATAGTATGAAACGTTATATATCGCAAAACTAAAGCATTAATACATGTTCCTACGATTTGGTGTAACGAAGTTTCCAGAGATAATGTCATCCTCATAATATTGAACTGCATTTCTTATGATGGTGCTTTGCGGTATATTAGGATTCTCAGTAATCATAGTTTTTCTAGCTATAAATATTCAACAATGTCAGAACTTTAAATCATGTAAAAATTTGTCCTATTATTTTAATTTCTCGAATTGTAACCTGTAGATAAAACAGTCTTTTTCCTGAAATTATCGAAAGCGATGCGAGAATCTACAAGAAGAAGCACAGTGCGTTTAGGTTCCCATAATGCTGCCCTTTCGATCCATTCATTTTCCCAAAGTATTAAGGACGTTATTTCGTCTGTGGATCCGTCTACTGCCTCGAAATTACGGAATTTTATACGTCTTCCATCACGTGTTATCACATTTCGTATATCACTGATCTATTAAATACGAATTTTATATTATTTTCTAATTAGAAGAATAATAAACAAATTTATCTTAAACTACATAATCTAACTCAAATATTGGAATTAATAATATATTTATTACAGAAATTATATAAATTACCGCAAGGAAATTTTTTTATTCTCATTTTTGAAATAATTTTGTAATAAATAAATCTAAAATATCATTAATATCATACGATTCTTAAATTTGAAACATACAAAGGTAACAACCACCAAGATGTCGACATATTGATCGCGTAGTGCTTCCAAGTTCTCAAAAATGCTTTTCAGAGTTCGCAACCCGGTCAGATTCTTAATCGGGAGCATCAGCAAAGATTCATATCTTGCACGTGTTGGTGCGTCATGAATTTGTACTAATGCATTGCCCTCGTTCACTGTCAAGCTACATGAACTGGACACCCACGGTACAAAAAGTTCATTTCTGTCTTCTGAACGCCGCTCTATCACTTTCGGATTAATCACTTCCACTGTAAGTTAATTTCATTTCAAACATTTCGCGTTATTCAATTTTAAATCTAACTTATCTTGATATATATGTACTAATTAAGAAATAACAGAATGATCAAAGCTTATAGAAATAGTAACAAAAAGGACGAAACAACTATTTTGGGGTAGATTTATTCAGTTCAAATATAAATTAAAATTTAAATATTTCATTTTAAATATTTAAATTCAATTTCAATATTAAATGTTTATATTTGAATTTATATATGTATCATAAAGTTTTTAACTTATTACAAACCTATGCTCCCGATATGAAAAGTAGAAGATAATTTTGTAACAAATTGCGTACTGCCCCACACAGTTACATTTATGGAATCTTCTTCAGAGTCACGTAACGTAAATGTCCACACACCACGGTTGACGTTATTAACTGAAATTAATTTGAATAATTTATCCGTGAATAAATTGTAAATATTCTTTATACAAATAGAAATTTCTTGATCCCCACTATAAGTTAAAGGAAAAATAAAATTCATACATTTCGTTCGTGCAGCATCGATCGTTTTCATATTAAAACTGTTCACAATTATACCAATTACGAGGGCATTTTGCGTACCAGGTTGTAGAGACTTCAGTGCTTGTTTATATACACCTGACATTATAATTTCTATTTTAAACTAATCTGTAAATACTGTTTTATCAAATTGAAATCTATCTTTGTCCTTAATACCTTGCTTTTTGAATTAGCGTAGAATAACTTTTGGCGCCGTTGTTGCCAACCATATTTAAATTTAAAATAATAACAATTAATTTTAAATCTAATTTAGCCTTAAGCTTGTTTCAGTTATTTATTTTTTGAATAAGCAACTATTTTGAGTAACTTCTATTAGAACTATTAATATAAATAAAATACTTCATTAATATTTATTCATGAAAACATTATTAAATAGAAAGATACAACCAATTATAATGGTAGGTATCGAACTGTTATGAACCAGGCTTAAATCGCTTGTGTTTAAATGTTGGCAATCTTGTCACCGATGACACTTGATTCACTTTCATTGACTTTAGTGACGTCGGTTCATGGGAGGTGAACTTTCGTGCGAAGTTCATGATTTGAGACATTTTTAAAATTATTACGTATCAAGATTTGACGAAACCATGGCTGACAACGAACAGAAGGCAATGCAATTGTTAGTTGAAGCTGAGAAGAAACTAACATCTTCGAAGGGTTTCTTTGGTTCGCTATTTGGGTACGTTTACTACATCGATTTACTTGAACTCGTCCGCCACTAAATCTGCAATCTTGATTCGCATTATTTATTTGTCTCTATTCACCATAAAGATATTTACCATAATTTTCTTTATGAAGATGTTTTGTTCTTTGTAAGCCTTTTTTTATCATTCAGTAGAATCCATTTCTGCGCATTTATACATATATATATATGTAGTTATATGTATGTGCATATGTATGTATGTGTGTGTATATGTATATATCTATGTAGCAATTTTTACTAGTTAGATAGTGTGTCAAAAGTAAGGATACCATGTGAGAAATATGTAAAAACATACATTTTTTACTTGTTTATTTTTTTTGTGTTTATTTCTATATGTTACTTTTTATTATTTTTGTACTTCTGATAGATGTCAGTATTTAATACTAGATGACTTATGGTTTTGTTTTCATATTTGTTTCATAAATCAGGCAGAATACAGTTTATTTTGAGTAATAAATTAATTTTTATTGATATTCGTTTTGAATTATTTATACATTTAATTCTTTTATTATAGAGGATCATCAAAGATTGAAGAGGCAGTAGAATGTTATCAACGAGCTGCAAACATGTTTAAGATGGCAAAAAATTGGAGTTCCGCAGGGAGTGCATTTTATGAAGCAGCAGATCTGCATGCTAAGGCAGGCAGTCGCCATGATGCAGCTACTAATTATGTAGATGCTGCTAATTGTTTCAAGAAATCCAATATAAATGGTACTATGATATTTTTGGGTTTGCTACATATTTAAAACCAAAAAATATAAATTACAGCAATAAATTTATTATCATAAATATTTATAGAGGCTATTAGTTGCTTGTTAAAGGCAATTGAAATTTATACTGACATGGGTCGATTCACAATGGCAGCTAAGCATCATCAGAGTATAGCTGAGATGTATGAAAGCGAAGCTGTAGACCTTGAAAGAGCAGTTCATCATTTTGAGCAAGCTGCTGACTATTTTCGTGGAGAGGAAAGTAATTCCTCTGCTAATAAATGTCTTTTGAAAGTTGCACAGTATGCTGCGCAACTTGAAAATTATGAAAAGGCCATTCAAATTTATGAGCAAGTAAGTTATACTTCAGTAATAGTATTTAAATTAATTAATGAAAGAAAGATTTATAAAGATCTGTTTTTTTTTATTTTACAGGTTGCATCTGCATCTTTAGAAAGTTCTCTATTAAAATATAGTGTGAAGGAATACTTTTTCCGAGCAGCGCTGTGTCATTTATGTGTTGATGTACTGAATGCACAACATGCAATTGAACGTTATCAGGAGCAATATCCCGCATTTGAAGATTCTAGAGAGTACAAATTGATAAAGGTATGAGATATAAAATATTAGAGTCTCAAAATATACAAAAATTGTATATTTAAAGAAGACACATTATACTTTAATATGCTAGGTGTCTTAATTTATATTTCAGACATTAATAGAACACCTCGAGGAACAACACCTCGAAGGTTTTACAGAAGCAGTAAAGGAATATGATTCAATTTCACGATTGGATCAGTGGTACACAACAGTATTATTACGTATTAAAAAGCAAGTTAACGATAATCCAGATCTACGCTGATCGGTTGTTCCTACTTCGTGCTATTTCCTGTCGATGATATTATTAATCCAATTCTATATGTATTCTTTTTTAAGTCACACCCTGCTTTCAATGGAACTTGTAAAGTAGTTTCGTTTTTATACCCAAATATATTTTTCATAACATCTCCTTGCTCTCTTGGCAACTATTACATGTTCATCATTTAAGTTATCATATACTCATAGAATTTTATCATCAAATAATATAAAAAAAAATAAAGAGTAAACTTCAAATATTCTATGGACATTAGTAGTTCATTTAAAATGCCAATATACAGGGCATAAAATTAACTATAGAAGTAAATAATATTAAAACTTTGTTGGTATTCTCATACTTATAAATACATAAATAGCTTGCCACAAAAAGCCACAGCTTATGCAATTTCATTTTACCGCATGCAATTGCAATAAGTAATTCAATAAAAAATAATTGATTTCCATGAGTTTAATCATTTCAGTAGGTATGGTGCAGTCTTATATGTATAATATTTTTGAAAGCTTATTGATAGTTATTATTAGTAATTTAAAATAATTATAACAATATGAATAAGATTCTGTAGTTACAGAAGGAAGAGTTATAGTTTGTTTCCATTTAGTTATATTATTCTGTTTTGTTCTATATGTACATTACATCTGGAATTGTTACAATAAAATGATAGATTATCAATTGTTATATTTACTGCCAGAGTACCAGAACACAGAATGTGATATACATATCATTTTCTTCTGGAACTAACGTATTTTGTGTTTATATCAAATCTTAATTTTTGCTGAGTTCTATTTAATCTTCAATTTTAAATTTTAGATATATGTATAGTATCATTATTATTTTTTAATGATATTTTATAAATAAGATACCATGCATTTAAAAGTGCAAATATTATATGTTAGGAAATTTCTTCTTTTTATTAGAAGATTAATATTTGTTTATACCTTTACATTGTTGAGAATTAATTTTGTTAATGTATATTTGTACTTTGAAATAGATTCGAGGTAGCGTATATTAATGTATAAAGAAAGCGTTGAATATAAAAATTTTCAATTTATTTCACATTAAATTAATGTTGTTTAATGAACCATATGTCGTAAATTTACTATAGCATTTTATATTTGAAACAAGTTACATTGTCTAAATATATTTACCAGATATATACATATATAAATATTCCATTGTTAAGTAGAGATAGATTATAACAATTTTTGCATGCACAGAAAGTAACGAAGCGTGCACTACATAAACATTATGAAGAAAATAACATAACTTGCGATACACGTAATTAATGCTATGTTATTTTTCGCGAGAAATAATTTTGAACTGTAAAAATGCTCTTCGAATAAAAAATGATCGCAAATATACTACGAAATAATGTGTGAATCATATACTCTTCTACTTATTCTTTCTATACATTTATCTGTTTATCTTCATATTGCGTATGTACTTATAGATATATATTGATTTGATAATTGTAATTTTTGGATTGGTGAGTAATCAATAATTTACTTGTTAACAAGCAATCTGTACTTATTTTCTTGCTTCGCGTAATTGTTGATTACATAATTGGTGGAAGCTGAAATTCTAGAATCTGAGAGTTAATTAGTGACACTCAGATTCGAGATTATATTTCATTTAATGTATTAGACTGCGAATATCAGGTTTATCCTTTCGAAACTCCGAAGGTAAATACAATTTAACGAATCAAGACATCTATTATATCATTTAGTATTTGAAAAAAATCGGCGTTGTAATAATGTGTGATTGGGGTGATGATAGAAAAAAGCGTGTTTAAATATCCTTGATTTTTTGTTTGCGAAAAACTTACATAAAATTTATTTTGTCATTTTAATTAATTTACTTATCTAATACAATAGAGAAAGATAGCGTATATATACAATATGAATACTTTGAATACATATGTATGCCTAAACTGGAAAACAGAAATTGATTTATTTGAATATATGCGTACGCGATATTGTATATTTAATTTTTGTACTGTCGATAAAAAGGAAATTATACTGCGAGAATGGAAATTTTTGTTAACTTACATTATTGTATGTGTAACACGATGGCGTAATGTCAAGACTTAACAGAAGCTAATAGCACTACAAAATAGATATCTTAGTGGCAATATTAACATGCTTAAAAAGCTAATAATCCTATAACATAAGAAAAATGATACCATCCTATTCAAAGGATATCTAGAAACAAAAAAGCATTTTATAAAGTGTCTTAGACAATATTCAATAAAGTAATTGATCATTATATACAATTCTGCAGTTAAAATATTAGAGATAATGTAATAGCGCCCCATTTGATTTAAAAATTACATTAAATTAATTATTTAAAATATGTGTAGCTTTTTTTTTAATATTAAACTTAAAAATACACAGACTGCATCGGTAGGCAAACACGTTGTATTTTTCTTTATATTGCATAGTTGCATATTACGACATATTTATTTTGTAAATAAAGAAAATTGGTTACAAATTTATACCTGATATCTGTATCATGAATCGTTGTATTTTTAATTTATAAAACGAAATGAAAAAATAAAAATATTGAAATTTTTTAAGATAAAGAAATTGCCACGATATTTCAAAATCAATTGTACAACTTTAATGTTTAATACATGGCATGATTGTTTCGTGTGAAGATTCAGTCCTTAACCGAATCGTGAATTTTTTAATGTTTGAAACCTTAATTATTAATATTGGAAATTAATTAAAGAATTGATTAAAAATCCAAAAGAATATAGTAGCAAAGTAATGATTAAAAAATCATAATTACCTTTAAAAATGTATTGAAAATTTCAACCAATAGAATTCGATTGCTACAAGAAAGTAGCCATCTCATTGGAAGAAAGTATTCTGATATGCACGTACACATATTCTCGCATGTCAAGAATGCGGTCACTGAACCTGTGGGTCTTAATATTTAAATATCGATTAAAAACAATTTCAACTTCATATCCTGAGCAAAAGAATAAAAAATTAAATAATGTAAACTGTACAAGGATCCGACTGCAATTTACCAATTTTTAAATATTCCGTTTCAATTCTACATTTTTTCATTTTATACGCGATTCTTGTTTGAAAGACAGTACTTCACGTGCAGATGTTCGAAGATAGCTCGCTCCAACAGATGTGCTGTGATCTCCGCTTTCGACTGCTCCGTTTTCTTTGCAAAATTTTTCCTGATCAATCTCCATCATTCAATAAAATACAGGAACAAAATACTTTGTTTCTGCTACGTATAATCAAGCCCCGGATCATCAACCCGGCAAGGGAGTCTTGCTTTTATACACATTTATCCTCGGACAGGTGAGCGATCTATTTTTCGCAAACCACTTCATCTAAAAATTTATTTGTTTGCTCTTGCTTGTCGCAAATTTCTCCGCAAACCTTATCTACGTTTTTCGAATTGCTGTTTTTTGCTTAAAACACGCTTGATAACGCGAAATAGACCAATAACATCGCGGGCAATCTTTGGCACCTCAGTCACCTATTTTATAGGTTGGGTATATGTCGGAGTAATCTTGGCGAAGAGAAAGTACGTAATAATAGTCTATTAAAGAGAAAGGATTGAAGATTGTGCAGTCGAGCGAAGATGCACGATGTCAACGTTTTTTTACGGCGAACATTGCGGCCAGAAATTTGTATGAACTTTATTTTCCATTACATTGATACCTTGTGTATTCATTTTAATTAAAGATACATTAAAAGTTTGACAGGATCGTTCATTTTATGGAGTTCATGTCTTTTCACAACTAACGAAATATTTTAACAAATGATTATATTAATGTAAATTTTATGTAATTTTTGTATATATAAATTTACAGACACATTTAATAATAAAATAATTATTATTCCAGAATGGCTCGTGGACAACAGAAAATTCAGTCACAAGCTAAAGCAGCTGAAAAAGCTGCAAAAGTAAAAAAGCAACAAGGACACAGTGCCAATGAACAAAAAAAGGCTGCTCAAAAAGCTTTAATACATGTATGCGTAGTTTGTAAGGTTAGTATGTTATCTATACGTAATAATTTATATTGTTGTAAATTCTGATATTTCTAAAATTAAAAAAGTGTAATCTGTTTTTAGGCACAAATGCCAGATCCAAAGACATACAAACAACACTTTGAAAATAAACATCCAAAAAATGATTTACCAGATGACTTAAAAAATATATGAGAGTAAAAGATTGTGTAAGCTTGTAGATTGGGATGGAACAAGAGCAACAAAAGAAAATTACTACAAATGACAAAGTGATATAGTTCAATGTTCAACTAATCATCAAATAGTCTCAAACAAGCAAAATAAATTAAATCTTGTTAGTGTTTAAAATGAACTATTGCACAGTTAAAAAATGAATTTTTGTGCACAGTCCTGAATTGTAACATTACTGACGATTCACTTTTGAAACAAAATTTTTTAGTTTCTTCTAAAGATATTCAATAATGTTCATCTAATATGTGATCATTAAGTTTTGACTTGATTGAAATATGTACATTGCTAAGAAATAAAATTAATCAGTTTAGCAGAATGATTACAAATATTCATGCATACTTTAATATTACAGGCAGTAAGGTAATATATGTTACATTATTTTTCTTTAACTAAAAAGAAAAAATACTTGCTGATACTATAACTTGCATTTAAATTCAGAATTGAAGAATTAAATGAAATAAGGAAGATTATCTGTGAGGAACAAGAAACTGCCATTTTACAGTGTCTGTACCAATTAGTGTACCAATAAGGGTATTATACGTGTAGAATGTTGTAACACATAATTCTGTCTACGAATATGTTTAATTATTAAGTTTTTATGTATTTGAGCCTTTATTAGAAGTAAATTATATACTATTTTCAGATAATAGTAAGTTTAAATTTATTCAATGTTTATTCAATGATTATTATAGAAAGTTCAGTGTTTAGTACTTAAATTCTTTTTTTCATATTGAAAATAATTGATTCAGGGAATTTTTTTTGTACAGATTTGTTTCATAAAATATTTCTACCTTGCACTGTATATTTGCCTCTATGCACTAAAAAGAATATATGGCAAAGCACTGCACAATCACCTAGTATTTAGCAAAAAATGTTATTCTTGAGAAGTTGCAAATATAATATATTACACCTTAAAATATGCTTTAAAAATCAACATCAAAATACACAGTAGAAAATACATGATCAATGTTTAGTACTGACAAGGAACTTACAAGAATTTCTAGTATACGTTTAACATAGAAATAAGTATGCGAATTATGTAATTTGTTCTGACAAAATAATTATAGAATTTTACACCACAAATTGTTGATTTGTTCATTTCAATTTAAATTTATTTTTAAATAATAAATTTGGTTTTATTTAAAAAATAATAAATAGTAAATATTACATTGAAAATATGTGGATCATTATATTTTAAAACATAGTGTCTTTGTGAGGTGTCTCGGTGATAAATAATGATTTAAAATTTGATGAAGCAATAATGATGTCACGATAATGACGTCACAAAGAAAAACGGTAACAGAAAATTTTACTTTTTTCTATTTTATAGAATTTTTATCGTGTCATGCTGCGTCACGATTGTTTATCAACTATTTCAAATGGGATTTCGAAGCACAGAAAAGGTTACATCATGCAAACTCAGGGAACACTGTATCTTATATATTGTACGGATCCATGAACATCTCTCAGTGTCATTTTGTCACAGCGTGCAGTAGCATTGTGAACTGTGGTTTTCAACTCGTTTTGTTGTTACTTCTTCGGTTTATAATTATAAATTAAACACAACAGTAATCTTTATCTTTAGTAGATATCTTTTTAGTGGCTGTAATTTTGTTTGAAATTCAACCTCGATCACGTAAGCAGCAACGGCAGTTTATTTGTCCAGAAGGTAGAATATATTTTATTTTCAAAAAGTTAAACTATGTATTGCATACTTTTTTATTGTATCACAATGAAAATAATTCGTGGAATATTTCATAATTGTAAGTAGTGATTAAAGAAAAAAAGTATTAGGTATTATTAGGTACTGAAAATAAAATATTGATATAGTCTGATGATTCAAATTTAATGCGACATCTTTATATTATTTCAAATCGCATGTTATGGTTACGTTGACCTCTTAGTTTTTTTGATAATTTGTCGGAATTTCGTAATAGATTTGTTATAATCTAATCACAAATAGCATTGATTATTTAAATCTTAGATAAGGGGATAGACAGATATTTAATTAGTTGTACGCACGTTACTTATGGCACGTCGTTTTTTATATCGAAAAAAATATATTTCGTTAGAAATCGAGTCGTGCATAAGGTGTATCATACAAGAAATCAAACAGTTATAGTATACGTAAGTCTATCTCTATCGATTAATTTCTTAGAAATCAGCGACTCGAATTACAACCACAATAAATATCGACTACATTCACAATAATCAGATCTGCGAAGAGACAACGTACATTCCAAGATTACAAACACTTTTCCGTTATTCGTATATTAATTTCATTTAAATTATCGTCATTCTTACCGGTATCTTTAATATTTCATCATCTATACATTAACTTTTCAATTTTTTATACAACAAAAATCTTTTATAAATAACAGTTCGCAAAAGAAATTTATCTGCATTCGAACGTTTCTATTTTGCAATTAAATATCTGTCGGTAAACAACTTTCCTACATTTTTCATAATCAACAATCTATAATCCAATGAGTTTGAGCCTAAATAAACATTGATCAAGTATAATAAATTAATCTATTATACTTCACCCAAAATTGTTAATTTTAGATTGTTTAGTTGAAGAAGTTGTGAAATGATGGACTCGATATTTCGTACAAGATCGCCCGGTGCTGCTGCCGAGGGTGTTCGAGATCAGTACGCTGATGGAAGAGCTGCTAAAGTGTGGGAAGTATTCATCGGCGACAAAAAGCAAAGAACTCAAAATTATCGAGACTTTCTGGTGGGTTTATTGAAAAATAAAGGATGCAAAAGAATATTGGATGTAGCATGCGGAACTGGAGTGGATTCAGTGATGCTTTTAGAGGAAGATTTCGAAGTTGTTAGCGTTGATGCTTCGGATAAAATGTTGAAGTATGCCTTAGAAGCCAGATGGGAACGTCGGAAGGAGCAAGCGTTTGATAATTGGGGTAAATATTTAATTGTGAAATGTATAATCGCATGTTGCAGACGAAATACGTATTTTGTTTTCTATAAAGATTTCAAAATACTCGTTGTTACTAAATAATGAGTACTTTTTAAGAATTACTTCAACTTAAGATTAAAATTAATATTTATATTTAAAGAGTATTTGAAGACTAATTAGCAGAAGTAAATATAAATTACAATTATTTTTGTAATGCTAATATCCTTCATAAATGTTTACGCGAGCATCAATTGTTAGTAGGCTAGATCGGAAACTCGACTCTGCATAATGCAATACTTCAGTATTTTTCATCGTTCAGAGAAATGCAGCGGTTCTATAGAATTGTTATGAAACCATTGATTTGATAAATGTTAGTTATTTTTCTGTCTTTTTTTTCCGGTTTGTGAAACTGTAAACCGTTATCGCTTATCGTAATAAAGAAGACACATGGTAGTGAAGATTGCTATTTTATCGAAGGTCAATTCTTTTCTACCTTTTGCTATTTCTCTTTTTAATTTTCCCACTGAAGATTATATTGAATTCTTTCTGACCTAAATTGTTCATTGCATCTTGTTATTTTATGCTTTGTAAATAGCATTGAGTTAACAGTTACACTTTTTTTACATAATTTTTTGTTTTTTGATATTTTATAGTAATTGAGGAGGCGAATTGGCTGACTTTACCACAAGATATTCGTCACTTAATAAGAGGTGGATTTGACGCTGTAATTTGTCTAGGAAATAGTTTTGCTCACATGCCTGATACGTTTGGCGATCAAAGAGAACAACGGTAAAATAAAAGACATATTTTACTATATATTTTACTTTTGTTATTAACATTGTAAGAATTTTTGTTTAATTTTGTTATGAAATATAGGCAAGCGTTATTGAATTTCGAACGCTGTGTAAAACCTGGAGGTTTGCTCTTGATTGATCATAGGAATTACGATTACATAATTGATACTGGGAATATACCGAAAAAGTGCATATATTATAACGTGAGTATATCTTTATAAAGTTTTACAACTCTGTTTAAATAAAACTTCGAATCTGTAAAAAGACGAATTTACGATTCTTTAAAGAAATTGTCGAACTCGTAATATTATGTCAACTTGAGACATTCAAATTTGAAGCATTTATATATACAGCATTCAAATTGAAAATTCAAAAATTAAACTATATTGAGAATTTTTTCTGTGGAATTTTAGAGCGAACATATGACAGACATCAAGGCATCGGTATTATTTGTTTCTGGAAAGCCAGCGATCGTCACTTTAGATTATATGATTACTTTGGATGAAGGGGAGGATGAGGATGAACAAAAGAACATTAGTGAGTTCAGACTTTCGTATTACCCGCACAGAGTGGACGTGTTCACGAAGATGTTGGATGAAGCATTCCATTACCGAGCCAAGCATACCATCTACGGGGATTTTAAATCCTTGGATGAAGTGAAGCATCCTGGTTTCTACATTCACGTGATGGAGAAACCAGTATAAATACGTCTGAAAATATTGCAATTGTTTGATAACAAAGACAATATTATCGGGAAATTTTACATTTTAATGCATCTCATGATATACGTTGCATACTCATTCATTTTCTATTTATTTCGTACAACGTAGAGCATAGTTTCTTGAAGAGTTCATATGGATTTTGAGCAGCTCAGTTTGTTCTTAGAATCTAGACGAATTTCTTGGAATTGTGCTTTGCATCATGATTTTTTTATTTTGTATACTTTTATATGTTGTATGAAACTTTTATGATTTGAGCGTTCTTTTTAATTCTTTATATATATACATATATATATAATGTATATTATAAAGTAAGTTGATACTATAAAAAGGGGGTAATAAAAAGAAGCAAAGGAAAAAACTGTAATTGATTCATGGGTCCATTCACACACTCATAAATGTAATAGCGCAGTTCGGTCAAGTTTTAATCTTTTTTATTATAAGTTCGAAAGCAGCTTTCTTTTGAGTATTCTAGCCAGGCTTTGTTCGATGCTACAATTTGATCTCTCGACGATACGATTTTTCATCTTTTATTTTATGTATTTTTTCTTTTTTCTTTTGGTAGTTTTTTGAGCGGTCGTTGGCGTTGATTCATTAATTTTGGCTCCTTGATCAATCTTTCTCTTGACTATTCCACGTTCCATGCCTTGCAAAATAATATTAGGAAGACTAACGAACGTAAAAGTGCGGCAGGGTTGAAGTTTCGATTAATCTTCACAGTTAATGCTCGATTCTACAATGTATCCATTCTAAATGATAAGTTCCCTATATTTTCGAACATAACCTTCACATTGATACTTCGATTCAATCATTAGTGATAGGATTGAAATATTTTTTATTAATCAAGAACTGTATCATTTTTCTAAATTAATTTCATTCTTTTTAAGCAGTCCTTTAAAAGTCTTTTATCACTGAGTAGCCTACACTAATTTCATATTATTTATATTTTCTGTAAGGAAGAATCACAGATAACCTTGTAATCTAGAAAACTTTTTAGGGATCAATAGAAAGTACCCTTTAAACAATCTTAATCAGACTCGGCCTTAATGATTTAAAAGATTCAATATTTACAGAGTTCTTCAGTGGCTCGATCTTTTAAGAGAAGATTTCAAGGTTATCCTAGTGAAAGATGATAATTGAATTCGAAGAACGATCACGATCGTAAGTCATTGTTTTAGAACGTGTAGTTTTTTATTTTTGATCAAGGTCAAAGGTTCTCGAGGTTTTACCAATCGAGGTCCTTTAAGGAGATATTTCGTCGACGATCGCTCAAACTAAAAACAACAACAAGAACATGAACGCGGCGAGGAGCGTTCGCGTAGGACCATTCGTCCGTCTCGTTTCGTTTTCTCTGGTTCGCGTCGAGATCGCACGATCGGATTTTCTCGAGAGTTCGTAAACAGCTCGGCTCCTGTCAATTTTCCAGTACCACGAAGGTCGATCAATCGATCAATCATTGTCTGGTGCCTTTTTATTTTCCATCATTCTATTTTGTAATCATCACACTTATTGTTACGGTATTTTAAAGTATAAGAAAATACATTATTTTATTTCCTTATATTTTCATTTGGTTGTAAATAGAAAAATGAAAAACTCAACAAAATTTTAAACACTCTTTTGATCTATGGCATTGCGATCAGATGTTGCGTTACAGAATTCGAAACAACAGTGTTTTCATAAAACAACAACGGACCTATTTGTTTTTCAAAATAAACACAAAGAAGCACGAAGTTTTCTCCTGTATCCCCAAAGTAGGTTATGTCAACTGTTTATTATTTTTCGTTTGTTAGTAAAGGACTACGTCGATCAAAAATATCGCAAATCATTGTTTTGGGAATGATTTCGAAATTTAAAGAAAAATTACATTAAGATTTAAGTAACGATATACATAGCGAGATTAATCGATCTTCTGTGGTACTTGATCATCGAAGAGCAGTTTACGGAAATGACAAGGACAGAGTTTACAAGGCCGAGGACTTGATTACAGTGCAACGAATTGCCCATATATATGTATATGTAATATATATATATATGTATATATATATATTCTTTTTTTCTTTATTTCTTTGTTATTCCGCCGAATAGCTACTATATAGACACTCTCAATCATTTTCACAAAAAATTCTGTACGATCACGGCTTCTTCGATCGTCGCTACGATCAAAGTCATCGTCATAATTTCTTTTTCCCTTTTAATAAAACGAAACTCCTTTCATCGCTCTATACTCATTACTTTTTTCTTTTTTAGATTTGAATCGAAGAAACAAGAAAAGATTAAGAAATCAGATTCAGACAGAAATGCTATTCTCTTGTCTTCCTCGTTTCCAAGTTCATCGATATACTTTACACCTCGATTATCAAAGAACTTTCTTGTCGGCGACATGAAAGGAACGAACAGAAGTTTCACAAAGAAATAAACGCATTATCTTGAATGCATAAATTCGTCGCTGACGCGTGAAAATCGACGACGACGACGACGACGATGACTACGTCGACGACGACCTGTGTCGCGACGCTCTCCACTCGAGTACAACGATAATCCGTTATTGCAAAGTAGCTGATATATAAAAAATCGTAATATCACATGTTTATCATTTCTCTTTTCGTCGCGTTGCCTATTCTCGAGGCACCACACTTGACAACGACCGCCTTGTCGGCGTTCGGCTTCGACGCGGACACCAATCGCGTTCCTCCACCTCTGCCATCTTCGATTCTCTTCGAATTCGACCAAGACGCTCTGTGTGTACACCTTCCACGGGAAAACGTGGTGGAGGTTCGTCGTTGCAATTGCCAAAGACGCAGATCAATCCACGCTAGTGAAACACTCTTGTGAGTGCTGATTGGTGAATGACTGTTGAAAAGACCGCGCTTCCAACGACTCCAACATGGCGGACCGATAAGTCGATCGAGTCATCCACCTCGACGTTTCATGACTTCGTTATCAGCTTTGTTCGAGTTTATTCGCTTTCTAAGTTGGCTTGTTGCGAACGGCACGCTGGAATGCTTCGATTTTCTGGAATATCGTGTAGCTGGAAAGTCCGTATGGAATGTAAATTAGGGTTTCATGAAACCACTATGACACAGGGTTTTGGAGAAGATGGGACGTCGTCAGTCTTCGATATTTTCGATGCAACGGTTTATCGGAATGTTTGGTGGAATCGACTTATGGTTGCCGATGGAGCCGTTCGACGGGGACGAGGACACGTGCGCGAGAAGAGAAGCTCTCGGATAGCGAACAGAGCAAGTGGACCTTCCCATGATTCCAATATTGCTACGGATGCAATTTCGTTTAGCTTTCGTAATGGTAAGGACCGTTGTTTTAATATCGCGATATAAATGTTTTTAAAATATCAATTTAAAAATTGAAATTGTAATTATTTACCTGGCGATAAATTTGATCAGAGATTAAAATTTTCTTTTTCGTCGAATTTTGTTTGTTTAGAAGATCGAAGAGAACGATTTGTTTTTCGAAGTTTAATCGTTACAAATGCATCCAAAATGGTGAAATAGCTCGGAATCACGGGCTGATCGACCGGATATGCAGCATTTAAAAAGGAGCAAGGCGCACCGTTTCCAATAATAATTCTCGATCGCACGTCAGCTGCTGAAAACGTTTTAACAATTTGTTAAAGTTTCGCGTTCGTTTTAAAGTGTATAGAAACTACGATAGAGCCAGCTATATCGTCACCGCCGCTAAAACCTAATTAACAAAGTCGCTCGTAACTGTTCGATAATTCAATATTTTTTTTTTTCTTATTTCATTTCCTCTTGGTAACATCGTGAAATTAGAATTGTTTCTGCACTTCTTTCTTGTACGCTCTTTTTCTTCTTTTCCCATACACACATACACACAGACATCCTCGCATTCTCTCTTTTATACTCTCTCAACCTATATAATATTTATAGTATTTACACGCGTATATGTCTCTGTCAGCGCGTTTGCTCGTGTTCCCATCATTCTTTTTTTTTTTTTTTTTCATTCATCTATTCATTTCGAATTGTTGCGAGTCAACGTTCAATTGTGTGCACGGATCTCGACGATCCGTGGTTCCCCTTTAATCCGGATTCTCTTCAAATGGATAGCATATTGCAGGAGCGATCGATATTCGTTAATCGATAATGCCAAAAAGCGATGCTTGGCTCGTTATTTTATAGAATTTACACACGATTTATATCACGACAGATCGTGTTTGGAAAGAATGAAAAGTAAACGCGTTTATCCATAATAGCAATATTTGCTTTGGATCGTCGAAATTCCGCCATATTATTCATGAGGGGAATCGCGGTGTGAAAAATGATATATAACATCAGAAGGTCTTCCATTCGTATCGATTCGTCTATATATGTTGGCTTAAGCTAACGAAATATATATCTATCAGAGACTTATTCGATTATTCGCATTTTTTCTACTCGTGAGATCAGTACTTTCCATCTTTGATTGTCCTTCAGAATTGTGGTTTTCAAAATTCTTTCTCGAGGCGACAGCAACGGAAATATGACATGTCTGTATATGCGCACGCGCGTCTTCGTGTAACTGAGTGCGTGCATATGTATAGTATAAACGTAGCTCAATCACCGCAAAAAATAATTTGACATACTCGAAGATTACAATTAATCCAGTATGGTGTTAATTTACAATGAAAACTGGGCAAATTAAGTTCTTCCATTTGCTGACTACTGTTGACAATAGTTTACAAAACGTTTAAGTTCTTGACAATGTTCAAAATACTAAAAAGAATTCATCGATAGGAAATCGATAGCAAGTATTAGTTAACGAACTAATTATAAGTTGAAATTATAAACTGATAAGCAATTTTTCCTGCTTTAGCGCTTGACGTCAAGTATTTATAACTAGGAACTGTAGACGGTTTTTAGTGTCAACGATTTCAATGATATTATTCCGATAATAATTGGGACCGCCAGATTAATACAGTAATCTATCAGCGCTACATCGTTTGAACCATCTATACATCTTGGTATGTGTATAAATATTCTCGTTATTCAATTGAAGTTTAACTCGACATAGAAAGCTGCGCCGGAAGCCGAGAAAGAATTAGACGAAAAGGAAAAAGTAGTCACGCGTGATAATGCTTCTTCTTTCTTGAACGTTTTCTCATTGCAAACGCGTTGACACGAATTACGCGTCATGTTGTCAGTTTTTTCTATATATATATGTGTATATATATATGTATGTACGAATATATATACACGTGTCGTAGTTACAAGATATATATACACCTAATATTGCTGTTTGGCTTTCGTGAATGCCATGTGAATGCTGGATTAGGTCATGTTCTGCGATGTAACAAAGTGAACGGAATCTTCGAGTTTCCGTTATGGCGTCTGTAACGATTGTTGAGAACGCGACCGGAAGTCGCATTGTAATCACGTAGCTACTTTGAATTCGCTCAAAATGCAAACAAAATTTTACATATTTGTTCTTCTTTTCTTTCGCTTTTCTTTCTCTGTTGTTCCTTTCTTTTTTTCTTTTAATATTTCATTTTCGCGGATTGTTGCACGGAAATATAACCATTCGAGGGCGTGGCCGAATTGACTTTTAACAATTTATGTTTATTTATCGTCGAGTCACGAAACGTTTCGAGAACCACTATCGAATTAAACGTCTTTACTGTAGCTTCTTCTTATCTTTTTCGTTAAGGATCTAATGCAAAAGCCGAAGCAACAAGGGGAAGTATGTTGTTTAACACGCTTAAAAAAATAAAGATGGCCTTTGTCGGTAGCTGCTAGGTACTTACGAGAACTGGTTTTATGGTATACTTTGGATTCTTCCTTGTTGGGTAGCTTTAGCCTCGGTTCTTAACTGATAACATCTTTGACGCGTTTAAAAGGACAGTGGTCCACGAATCGTTTTACGAACCAGGTCTCCACAAGAGAGGAGTGAGAATACTTTCTGAAGGGAGACTTACAAAAACGTGACGCGAAGGTGAACTGCGGGAGCACTTCCGGTATAATTTTCTCTTAAATTTAATAAATACGTTGAAACTTAAGAAATGCAAAAGAATTTTACCTCTGTACCTTCTTTCGCCGATAAATAATATCAAAATGGTGAAGGATACAGTCAACAGATAACGATGTGAAAAATTTGAATCGCTAAAATTAAGATTGAAAAGGCAGAATAATTTAGTCACAAACTTGATGAAGTACAAATAGCTTTGAGCTATCGAATATTCAATGGAAGTTCTCCCAAAGTCGGTGAATTTTTCACAAATCCACTTTTGCAGCCGATTTTGATCACTCACACACATACATGCGCCAGCATACATACGTACATACATATACAGACGTTTCACTGAGACGGAACTATTAAGAAGCCATCAATCAACGTTCATGCACTCGCGAATCCTGTTTCTCGAAAGTTATAGAATGAAATAGAGAAGAAAGTAAAAGGAAATAAAAAGAACACAGCACTACAATGTAGTGATAGCGAAGCAACGATACTCGACAACGCGTCTCGACGCTTTTCACTTCGAGTCACGGAGCTGTTCAAAAATTTAAACATGGGAAGTCTTTTGACATCCTTTTCATTCCTAGACAGACTTTTCTCGAATTTTCGTCGCTTTTATCGCTTATCGTCGAGTCTGAACCATTCCAAGCAATTAAAGAATCATGTATCGTTGTTCATCGGACAATTGTAATATTTGCCAATATTTTTTGTTCGGTAGAATTAATCAAAAATTAATAGCGAATTAATTAAGAACACGAACAAAAATCCTCTAATTGCTATTGTGCTACACACTCTTTCATTTTTCTTTTTTTTTTTTACTTTGTTTTTGTTGTTGGTTGTTCTTGTTACTTATAATCTATCGTGCGCAACCACGAGTCTAGCTGAGATCCCCTAAAGATGCGTGTAAACCTACGATTACAGTGTGTGTTACCTTACGTGTTAGAACGTGAGTATTCTGAATTTTAGTTTTCATCCTCTCGATTAAACGTTCGATGTCTCGAAGAAGCCGTCGCAAGCAGTATATAAGTCGATATACATTTTTGTATTTTTTCTTTGGTTTACTTTTGCTTTTAATCGCGTGTTTGGCCATGCAGAAATATGCCAAGTTGTATTATAATAGCGGGACCGTTTCGTCGGCATGAATGTCCCTTTTTATTTCTTCATCTTTTATCTATCACTTTCTTTTACGTTTCCCTCTTGTTTCGTGTTTCCATTTACATTCGACGGGCTACGATCTTATACTAGTACTTTTCTTCTCGTATCAGGTTTGTTCTTCGCGTGTACCGACGAATTGCTCATTAAAAATCAGACGCGAAGCGAGTAGCGAAAATGCAGTATGTCCTTAAAACGTACGCGGTGAAATTTTACAGATAGCTTATGCCTATACCGGCACGCTCGTCTCACTTTATTGAAAAGAATTCGCTGAAACAGCCGACCTCTTTTTCTAGCCACTTTTCAACTCCTTTTTGGTTTTCATTAAAAAACCATAAACTTTGCAACCTCTTATATGGCTTCTTTTTCTTCCAATATCTCATATTTTTCTTTCTTCTTCTTTTCTCCAAAGGATACATGGCTATTACAATTTCCAAAACAACTAGTTTTTCTTTCTTCTTGGTTTAAAGCGAATTAACAATTGCGTCGACCCAATCTAACTGCAGCAAACCACGTCAAATTATATCCAACTGCATAACGTCCCGATCTAACTTCTAAAACAAGTATTCCCGAGAATAGCAGTCCATTCCAGCGATTTCCAACAATAAATCAACTGTGAGACGTCCGTGCGGAGTCGCAAGAACTTTCACAAATACTCCCTGGGCCTGGGCGGAGGCCTCTTCCTATCGGACCTGTCGCTTCTGTCCGTCGTGGTGGTACTCTGTTCCCTATCATCGGTGCATTCGAGCATCTGTGTGGTTTCCGTCGCCTCTGATGGACTGATTGGCTGACTAGCTAACGGTGCTAATGGTGCAGCTCCCTTGTTCCTCGATTTGCTTCTTCTCTTTCTCAAAATCAATGGTCCAAGAGGCGTAGAATCGTCCCCTCTAGAAGTTGACGCTTGGGCCAGTCTTTCCAGCAATTCCTTACTCACTTCTCTCGAGGAAGTTTTGTAATCACTACTGTCCTTCAGTCTATCCGATTGCTGCGATTGATGATGATGATGATGATGATGATGGTGTTCCTGGGACTTGGAGATTCTTTCTGTCGTTGTTCCTTGTTCTCTGTAACCTTCACCCCCAGTCGTCGATGTGGACGTAGTTGCTATAGAAACCTTTTGTTCCCCCATTATATTTCCCCCGGACGTTTGCGTAGCCTGGGAACCCTGTTGACAACTGGATGTGCCCTGTGGCAGGATGGTCGACTGATTCTGAGAGGAACCACCGTTACCACCTGTCGAAAAATTGTTCGTACTCTTTTGCTGTTGCGGACTAGCCGCGGGCAGTCTGCTCATCAACGTCTGCAGCATGTCCTCGATTTTGGCTAATCTCTGGTTCACCCGTTGCACTTCCAGCTTCAAGTCCACCTTTACTTCAAGCACGGCGGCTAGAATCTCGCGATCATGGCTCGGTTGAGTGGTGATCAGTCCATCGTCGTAGCTTTCCAGTCGACGAAGTTGAAGCTGCTTCGAGTCTGCGGTGTTCTGTTGCTGTTGTGGCTGCTGTTGTTGCTGGGTCTCTTTTGCGTTTTCTGCGTCTCCTGATTCTTCGATGGTGCCGCTAAGCTTGCCGAACTTGGGAAACACTTTGTTGCTGCCGGCACTTGAACTGGGTCGAGCGTCTCTGGCGCTTAGGGAGCGTTTAAACGTGTCCACTCCAGTCCCTGCCTCGCTTCCAGAGTCCAGACTAGATGTTCCTGCAGAAAATCACACATTTCATAGAATTTTGTTTTGTTTTAAATTCAGTTGTATGAAAATTTCCACTTTATTATACGGAAATTAAGATGGAAACTTCCTACATTTTATGATATCACGTTTGATAATTATGTTCCACTTTCTTCTGGCTTCTCATACTATATCATGGTTTTCCATCAATTTTCATCAATTTACACAGAGTGACACGAAAGTGAGATATGTAGTCGGGGGTCAGAAATTCTTACGACAATTACAATAACAGTTGCAAACGGTTATCCTCCTCCTTTTCATGGGTAGTGTTACGACCGCATATTTAAAAATTTTCCTGTAATCTCTGAAGCTCCTGCAATCTTCCAAACCTACAACTGTGTTCTCATTAACTTCGTATCACTCTGTACGTCATAAAAATAAATTTTGTTTCGTTACCTAAGAGTCGTCCCCACTTCCCGGCCCGTCCCTTGACGGCAGTGCTCTCGTCCGCAGTGGAGAGTTTCCTGGTGTGCGAAGACTCGCCCTCTTTGCCCTCTTTCCCGTCCTTTCCGTCCCCTTTCTCCACGTCGGCAGTGTGTCTCTCCCTGCGGAACCTGGATAGAAAAAAGTAGAGAGCGAAAACGCCCGTGTTTAGTTGCGTCGACGTGATTTACTTCTGTCTACATTACTGGGGTTAAGAGGCCAGTTTCACTAGGCGATCAATTAAATAAAGGGGGAAATAATAAGATTACATGGTGTATACAAATCGTGGGTAGGAGAATATTGTACATATTGTCTTGTTTTTTTTTTTTTTTCTTTTTCGTGGTTTCAAAGTTTCACTTCTATTTTTCTTTGGTTTGGGCATCGTGAAACTTTACTTTCTCTCGATCGTATCTGATCGAAGATCATAATCTGCGTCATCTATTTTCATTTCCACTTTTTTTTTTTTTAGCAGAGTTGTATATATGTATATGCATATATATAAATTTATATATACAAGTATTTATATATATCTCATATATACATATACAGTTTTGGTATTTTTGTTCTGGGAACAAGGGGAAGAACTATCGTTCTTTTCCTTTTCTTTTTTTTTCTTTGCACTGTACTGGTTCTGCTTTTTTTTTTTTTTTTTTGGCAAATGAGTCAAGTTCATTCTACTGAGGCTAGAAAAGGGGAGACAGCTCCAGCGGTGTTCACGAGCAACCTACTTTGATGTGCCTACGGGATTCGAAAGAAAATATTCTCGGTGGTGATAAGATGCCGGTCAAAACATACGGGAAAACCTGGCGACGTCGATGAACCGATTGTGGCCTGGAATCTATCAAACAAAGAAATAAAAATGAAAGAAAATGAAACAAAAGAAAAGAAAGAAATAATTAATTGAAAAACAGAAAGAAATAGTCTTATGCGACTCGTGACGAAGCCATGAAAGCGAAACGTGCTCTCGTGACGTTTCAGGGTTCGTTGTTTGGGCACAATGCTATTTTCGTTCGGTGAACGAAGTGTCTCTGTGATAAAAAGTCAGGACACGTTATCGCGGTACTTTTTAGGCTGAATTGGCCGACTTAGAAACTCCATTCTCGAGCCGTAATTACACCGTGTGCCCGTTGGGAGCATCAAAGTTTAAGTTATCGGTTATGCACTGATGTACTCCGATGGGACACGAGCGGAGAATAACAAATCAGAGTAAATAGGTACGTGTGTCAGCCTGTTCTCTTCATCGCTACATTTTAGCAGGGAAAGAAACGAATCTTTTCCCTTCGGACTTCCTAGAGCAATGATTCTAAATAAAGTGGAAGATCACGGGTTAAGGAAAGAGAACTTATAAACGGAGCTTTAAACGATTGCGCCAAGTAAAACACAGTGAAAATTGCAGTGACGATAAATGATTTATGGCTAAACATAATTGTTCCTCTGAGGTTATAAAATACTTTCTTTCCCGTTATTCGCGAATCTTCTGGGCTGATATTTCTATTAACATGATTTTATCGAGGACTTGATATTCTGAAGAATCGTGTTAAGAGAAACGCAAAGATACTCATAGTGATAGGAGTCAATCTACGGTCAGGCAGAATTTATACCGCTGAGATTCTAATACATTTTCTTTTCGTTATCCACGAATTTATCAAGGTGCTTCCTAATATGAACATCACAGATCGTAAGGAACCCGGACTTTGTCGTTATTAAGCCGGTGTTAGGTATCAGGCAAGAGTCGACTTGTACTTAATGGTCGGCCGCAATCGTGGTTCATCGACGTAACGTTTGATGATACAGTTGTAATGGTAACGAGCTGCTTGATTAACTGTAGAAATGCCATTGAGCAATCGACTGGATCATTTGATCGAGTCGAAGGCGGAAAAAGGAAAGAAAGAGAAGTGAAAAGAAACGAAGTGGATCGCCTCGTTCTAGTCACTTTGCTCTAAACTGCATTATTATTAAAAAAGTACTATATGTGTCTATCATGCACGTAACATGCCGCGATTGAGGCTTCTAAAAAAGTCAATAAAAAATAAAGATTCGAATTCTTAGAAATCGTTGGCAATCTGGCAGTTTTTCAAGCAGCTACTTGGCATCGTTTATATATAAGTACAGGTGACAGAGAGAAACTTGAATCCTAGAGTGTGTACGTCACATGCATTCGGCGTTGCATAAAATCGTAAAAGGATCGGATGCTCGAGGCACATTGGAAGACTCTGATATCTCTTTCGCAATGATATGAAGAAAAATCGTCACTTATCTTACATTAACGAGAAGGTATTAACCTTGTGGCATCAGCAATCGTGTTGCTTCATGAAGGAATAAAGCAACATGGTTGCTCCACGTTAAAGAAAATAGCTAGAAATTGGCAAAAAGAGATACAGAGTCCTCGAGTTCGCTCTATACAAATCCTGGTTCCACTAAGAATATATATGTATATATATTTATGGTGGGAGAAAGATGCGCATAACCCTCTAAAGCCGTATATCTTACAGCACTCTAGCATTCGTCAGAACTGCAGTGATCGTCAAAAATGACAAAGATTGTATAATGGCACCGGGTGATGTGTACGCATCTGGAAAAAGATGCGGTTCCTGGGCAAATCGATTTCGAACTTTCCCTTTTATCATCTAAACACCAAATTTATCTTCCGTGGGAGATTTATTCTCGTTATGGCGATAAACTGCAAAAAAAAAAGAAAAAAAAAGAGTAAAAAACAGTAGAACAATATAGGGAAAATGGTAAAAAAAGATTGGACGAAAGATGGAAATTCGATTTACCCAGGCTACTTCGTAGACGTGCTGAGTGAGAATACATATCAGTTTCTCTTTCAAGCGTGTGTACAGCGATTGCACATCCGTGATACCCTTCGAAACCTTTCTCGAGAAATGCTTATCGGTCGCTCCCGGGGGAGACGCGCGAGTTGAATGATCGGTACGACACGACTAGAAGAAGAAGAAGAATAAGAAGAAGAAGAAGAAGAAGAAGAAGAAGAAGAAGAACAAGAAGAAAAAACGATCTCGCGGGTTGCATTCTTCTGTTCAATACGATTTTATTCGATATGTTTTGGTTTCACGGTACGTGTATACGATCGGAATAAAAATTCTGCACGGTCCATCGTTGCCGAAAGCTGCTCGTCCCGAGGTGGATCGTGTCGATCTAAAAAAAGTACTTTTTCGAATCTCGACTCTCTTAATAAAAAACGTTCACGCTCTCTCAACAATTGCTCGTCCGTGATACAAATAATTTAGGCAGGTATACATATACAAAATCGACCCGTATAAATATATATATATACACATATATATAAATAATATATATATAAAATATATAATAACAATGAATAATCATGTGTTTATATTTATAAAAATATATATAGAGGAAGATGTATATATATGTATATATGTATTTAGAGAAAAATCACAGTGGAGAACAGTAATAATAATATATAACGATATACAATCATAATAACGATGATTAATATAATCATAATGAGAAGAATAATTAATCGAATTAATATAAATATAGAGTAATAATAATCAATAATATAAGAGTGTACGTAAGAAGTAGCAAAGATGGCAATAAAAAGAATGAAGAAAGATAAATAAATACGTAAGAAATGAAATTGCCTAAAACTGGGCCAGGGCGGCAGGACGTTCACGGTGAGCTCCTCGTCGGAATCCTGCTGGGACCGTCCGTTCGCGGCCCTGCTCACGCCGATCTGGGCATCCCCGTCGGTCTTGAACCTTTACGGACAACAGGCCAGCCAAGCAACGATCAACAATCAACAACAATTTACCAGAACATACGATACGAAAATTTCTAATTTTACTTTTTTTCCTTACTTTCTTTCTTTCTTTTTTTTTTGCACCGATATACACTTTGTGCGCTAACATAACCTTTCTCCCCTCTTTCTCTCCCTCTCTCTCGTAAACTTTCACGCTTATGTTTCCGCCTTGCAATGTTAGTCTGTAATTTATGCTTGAATACATTTACATCTTTGTACGCGTGTATTTCCCATATTTCTTATTTCTCTTTCTTCTTGGCTCCATTCTTATCCCTAGTGTGCTGATGGAAGCTTGCAACGGGGGAAATGCACACGTACAGAGGGAAAATTCAGATGCTCATTCGAGATCGTTCACACTAGTCCATTCTCGCTCTTCGTTCTCTCCTTCGACATTCCAGTGAAACTGCGATTAAAAAAAAGATACATATATTCGTCAGCCTATTGGATTTGTGAATACAGACCAGCTGTCCACTCTGCGCGGCTTTCCACGTAGTCATACGGAAGAATCGAGGCTGCACGACAGCTTAATTATCACGTGGGTACATATTCATTTGTAAATAATCGTTCTGAGGATATGTCTTAGAAAAAAGAAAAATCATATTTCTTTTTCACTTAGAAACATCATAACCAGTGGTTAAAGTTCAGTCAGATAGTATACACATGTTTCGATTTATTTTTAAACGAATACGTATCCACTGAATTAATCCTAAATTTAAAAGTCGACCTCTCCCAATGCTTCTCCATTCCACAAAAAAATCACAGTAATACCTGTAAATTATGAACGAATCAAAATAAATTCTGTAAAAAAAAATATATTAATAAATTTCTTTTTATTAATTTACTATAACGTTTGATTTTTTTGTTCAAAAATGAAAGATCACTAAGAGAGGCGTACGTTATTAAATAGAATGGATTCGATATTATCCATTCCAGCTTGATGGGCAACAAATCTGTCCCTACCTCGAGAAAATTTTGCGCACCAGGTGATCCTGCGCTTGATCCAATTGTGGCTCGTTCTTCCTTCTTTCTGCCAGTTCTTTTTCTCGACGAACATCGGCCACCTTCCGGAAGATCAGCTGCACAAAACGTTTGATTCGATTTTACACGCTTAAACGACTACTGCAGTCAGTAAATCAATTATTTTTTTTTTTTCATTTTCTTGAATTTGCTGTAATACTTGCAAAATATGAAATTCGTCATGAGATGTTATATACTTTAAATAATTAATCAGGATGAACAACATGGCGTAGTTGAACGACAGGGGATTATTTATTTATGGAGTCCAGAATAATTATTTATGCCCCCGAGTCGCTTCTTTGCTATTATTAATGGTCTCGAACACATCGGACCTTTTATCGGATTTTTTATACTCCTTACTATGTAGGTGACCATTATTCGGTTGATTGTCGAGTGTTAAAATTAATACTTGCACGGTTACGTGACAGATCAATCTATTAAAATAATTTTCGAATTTTTTTTTAGTACATCTGATGTCTCTATATATAAAGTAAATAGAAGGGTGCCTTCATTTATTAATCTTCTTAGGAAACGAAGTCTATGTTAATAATTTTAATATTTTATGATTTTACGTTCTGATATTCTTTTACTTAAATAGAACGTAGATAATTAGAGTAATTTAATTTTTTTGACAATATAATTTCTGACGCCAGAAAAGAATCGTTCCCCTACTGTTTTTTTCTAGACAGAAAGTTGTAGGTTAGGGGTGGGGGAATAATTTTGTTCACCAGTTACGCATGCGCCATTAAAGCAGTCGATAGGCACACTAGTAGCAGCCTACCTGCAACCGTGACTAACCTTAAAATATTTTATTTATCGTATTGGATCAAGGGAGGATGCAAATTTTTTCTCGACAAGTTTCGTATCAGAATGTCTAGTTAGATGTTTGCTAAAGGACTTTGAAAGGGCGTACGTGTTATCACGTACTTTTATTTCTGTCATTCGTGTCGGATCTTAGTTCTTACTGGGAAAACTGAGGTATATGGATTGCTGTGGAAAGTACTGCTTGTGTTCGAAAGGTTTGTGACAAACTTTTCAATATAACGTACATGTCACCCTTGTAGGTATAATGAATTGTATTGATCTATTTTATTGTAAATAGTGAATTGTAAACTATTGTAAAGTAGATTAATCGTTCGTCAGTCATATGTTTACACAAAAACGACCTTTATGGTCATTTTATAGTAAGTTCTATGGAATGAATTCGATAAAGATAATTGATTTATTTTAGATGGGTCATGGTTCGAGCCGTTCCGCTTCATCCGCAAATATTCTTTCCGCGGACGAGCTGACCTTGGTGGAGAATCTGTTCAAGTCCATGTCTCGAAGTTCAGGCTCCATAAAACGCGAAGATATATTTAAACACTGGTCTACCCATTTAGACGATGTACTATTGCAATTTGTAGTAAAGTTCCTTTGTCATGAACCAGGAAAGAGAGTGTCTGCTATTAATGGAGAGAATTTTGGCAGACTATATGTGTTTGCTGTTCGTGGAAGTCCAGAGGAGAGAACTAGCCTGATTTTTAATGGTTTCTCAGAAGAGGAACAGAAACATGAAATACCTACCACAACGTTCCTTCAATATGTTCAAGCTACTATAAATTCCTACTTGAGACTGCAAAAAAACTCAGGAAATGCACATTATTTAACATGGAGTAGCATTGGTTGCACAGTAAATACTAGGAGGATAGGAATGAGGTCCAGAAGTTTGTGTGAAGATCTAGTCAAATATGGAGATACACTAACCATTGATCAAATAGAGAACTGGTTCTCGTCAACAGTTACTTTCAAGACCATTCAGTCGCACGTATTCCAGTGCCTTTTCTTAGTCTCTCAAAAGAAAGGAGATAAGAATACGAGTAGTAAATTAAACGATTTAAATCTTTTGCCTGGTTGCAAAGGCTTAGAAAATATACCACACTTTCCTAGCATTCTGGGACTGGGTGATGTTTTGTTCTTGAATCTAAGTTTGCCCCATGAACTTCGCAATGAATGGAGATTTCTATTTTCTAGTCAAGTGCATGGGGAATCATTTTCTACTATGCTTGGTAGAATTACCATGCAAGGATCTACCATTATAATACTCCAAGATACAGATGACCATGTATTTGGTGGTTTTGCCTCAGATAATTGGGCACTTGGACCAAATTTCATAGGAAATCAAACCTCCTTTTTGTTTAAACTTGAACCAGATATACTCACGTTTCCCTCTGCTGGTTACAATAACCATTATCAATATTTAAATCTTTATCAACAAACTATGCCTAATGGTCTGCTTATGGGAGGTCAATTGAATTACCCAGGTTTATGGCTGGACTGTGAATATGGAACAGGAAAGTCAAGTATATCCTGTATAACCTTCCAGAATTATGTACAATTGAGTGGTAAGGAGAATTTCAAGCTGAAGCATTGTGAGGTTTGGGGTGTAGGTCCCCTTCCGCAAGCAGAAGAAGAAGAAGAACGAGAGTCGAAGTCGGTGTTGGATCAAGATTCTTCCGCGAAAGTTATACTGGAGATGTCTGGCCGTAAGATGTACAGCGAGATGTGTGGTTTAAGAGAGAAGAAAGAGTAATTGTGATGTTAAAGATTCTACAGAAAGAACACACATATCAGGCTACTCAAAACTGTATCGGCTTTTTAGAAACGAAAGAAGGTCCTTGTCAAGCAGTATCTGTAATGCAATGGAAAAAATAGAAAAAAAATTATTTCGTAGTTCTCGTGGAATCGTTTCGACAAAATAATAACAATAACAATAACAATAATAATAATAATAATAATAATAATAATATCAATAATAATAATAATTATAAAAAAAGATTAACAACAATTGCATTCTGCAAGCTTGTACTTCTTTTTGTCTGTTTACAAGCTAACTTTTTTGAAAAATAAAATTTCACATCCCCGTAACGGCCTGATCTCTCATACTGCTATCATTTCCACTTGACTCTACGATCGATAGAATAATATTTAAAAAACAAAAAGAAAGAAAAAAAAGTTATATCGTGCAAGTTGCTGTCTTTCGAATGCCTATTATCTAGTGCCTGGTGAGTCATCAATCATTTTTAACCGGACTTCTTGATACTCTGAATAAAGTCTATCGATGAGAAAAAACTTGTACAACACGTATTCGCTATTATTGTTACATAAGACTGTGTGTTATTCGTACATGAACCGTCTGGCGTATACTGTTCACTCTATCTGCCGGACAAAAGAAAGCCAAAGAGTAAACACTGCACTGTTATTCAGTGTAATGCTAAAGTTCAATAAAGATTTGAAACCTTGAAATACGAAGTTTTTTCTTTTTCGCTTGTTGTACCCTTTACATGCTTTGTTCAAAATCAGTTAGCAGTTTCGAATATTATCAGAAAATTGAAATAAATCCTAAGATTTAACATAATAGAGGAATAGAATGATTCATCGACATCAGATAACTGATTCTGACAATAATGAATATTTTCTTTTAAATTAAAAAGATAAAAGAAAGTACTCACCCGATGACTAAGGTTGTACGTCAGAACAAGATTTCTGGCAAAGGAATTAGCAAAGGCCTGATAAAAATCCAACACCTCCAACAATCGATCCCTCTTGATCGTGTGTAGATCGCAGTAGGTCAGAGCTCGAACATTGGCAGCGCTTTGTCCCACAGATGGGTTCGTCCAAAAGCTGTCGCCGAACACATCACCTTTGCCCAGGATTGCCACTACCTCATCATCCTGGATCACCTCGAGGCTTCCGGTCACGATGAAGCACAACGAATCGATGGATTCGCCTGTGTGATACAATAGATCACCTGGTGCGCTATGGGACATCGTGAAATGCATTGCCAGGGCACGGAGGCAACCGTCAGAGGCCAATCTGGAGACAAAATTTAGAATTATTATACAGCAGCCAAAAGATTTTTGTGCTTATTCTACGTGTTTCTTACTGTACTGTACATTAAATAATTTATTTCAATAATCCTAGCAAGACAAACAAAACTTGCCTAAATGCAGGGTGTTCGTTGAAGACCTTTCTGTTCAGATGAACACAAATATCCGCCTTCATATCCTTGGGGCAGTAGTTGAGTACCTTATCGGTGTCTAGGCCCTTAGTCATCGCCCATGTGCTCACCACGTAATCCATCACGCGTTCGCTAAGTGCCTTGGGCACCTCGTGCAGCTTCATGAATTCCCTTACGTTATTGAGCATATCGTGATACTTGGCCGTTGCGGACGTCATTTGCTGGATTATCGTAGTCACGTGACCGAAGATCGTGGCGTACAATAGGGCTGTGAACACAGATATGGGTGGTCAATTGTAATGCTCGTAAATTTGTGCACCTTTTTGTACAGAAGTAACAGAAAGGATCGTACCGGCTATAATCATCATGCAGATGGTAAAAATCTTTTCGTTGTCGGTCTCGGCGGCGACGTTACCGAAGCCCACTGAGGTCATGCAGGTCATCGTGAAGTACAATGCGGTAACATACATTGTCCTTCTGGACGGTCCCGCGATTAATTCCGGTGCGGTGCTGGTATTGGTCCACAGATAGCTGTACGGTGACTGGGTGACGTTCGCTAGCTTCCACAGCCAGGAATACTGGACCCCATTGTCAGCGTCCGACCTTCCTATCGAGTACCTTCAACGTAATAACACTTCTTACCTTTGTGACATTTATCTATCTACGATTTACATTTTCTAACACGCTATAAACTCGAAAATGAAAGGCGTCAGAATAACTTAGAGACGCGTGAAAGAAGCACGCATGCTTTTTAGTTCGCTAAGTTCGTGTTGAAAGCGTTTTCTCCATTTTTTTCTTCCATCCTGACCGTTATCCTTGTTTCATTTTCGACAGATGCTTTCTTTTGCTTCCTCTTTGGGTTCGGATCGTTTCTTTCTCTTTTTTCTTTTATTCTATTCGAACGAAAGCACGGCTAACAAGAAGGATCACGGTCAAACACTCGAAGATTCTTTTGGAAACGAAGAGGATTCGCTAACAGAAGATAACAGCGCACGAGCAAAGACTCGCGTTCGTTTTTGCAACAGTCGGTTCGACGACGGGAATATCCAAAAGGACACAGGAGCTCTTTGTCAAGGAAATGAGCGGAACGTTACCATCATTGGGGACCTTCTTTTCTTGCTCTCGAGGAGCAGCCTTTTTCTCGAACCTTCTCACGTTTTCGCGTTCTATCTTTCTTTTTCTCTCTTTCC